AGCACTACACCACTAGGGCTTGTCTTTCCTGAATCTTAAGCTTTGTATTTAAGTCATGGAGATATATCTGCACAAATTTCTTAGTTATCTTCCCATATTTATCAGGGATAGTCACTTTGTTAAGAAGGAAAATCTTTTTGAAAGAACTTAACAGACTTTTACCCTTCTTTTCTGCTCCTTTCAAGATTTACAACCTCATAAATCCTAGATAGAGTCACTATGAATCAGAATCAACTCAATGCAAGATTTCAGTGTGTCCTTAATGATGTAGTATGTGGTTACACTCAATTAATCTCTGGTACTCAGTACTTCCGCAGCACTTGGTTATTTCAATGCTGCTATGACAACAAACTGCTTGATAATAATATATGGCAGTATCTGTTTTGTTGTGTTTGTAAAACCTTAAACATTTTTCTCTTAAATTTGTAAATATCTTGCCAAAGGCTATTAGAGATCTCTGCATGTCTCTATCTTTTCTTCTGAATCTTGGAGATCTTTACTGGACAAATAAAAGTTCTGAAATATTATTCCATATAGTCAATATAAATACACACGCTAGTGTTTGTATTTTGTTGGTAATTCTATGTCTCTATAGGTATCTCCTTTTAGCAATATTTTCTAAGGTGTCTAGAATCTTAGTGTAAGATTCTAGGACTGAACCACATAAAAATGGTATATATGTTTCACTTTAAAATATGTGGTTGCATGCCTTTAAAAAGCCTGGGTAGCTTGGCAGCATTGTCATAGAACCAACTTCAGTTATGTTGTGGGGGACCAGTTACTACAACTGAATGGGACCAAGGGGGTGGTTGTGTAATTGAAGGGTAAGTTAAAGAGACATCAGACAAGATAAAGCGTGCGAGAACTCACCTCTACCATGACTTCAGGAACTAGGTCCGCGCAGAGAGAAAGATTGTATTCTCATCATCATTTTATGAGATTGACGCACTGCCTACTGCGCTGAGGAGGCACCTGCACTCATCATCATTTTATATACTCTTGGGCATGCATGCCCCAGTAAGCACATAGGTGACAGAAAGGGCTTGTACAAGAGGCATACACATAACGTGAGGGCGACAAGCCAGGGAATACACACAATAGGAAGGGAGGCACTGCAGTGATTATACACAAAATGATGCTAGCTTGCCTAGGACAATGACACTGGAAGAGGAGAAAAAAGTTGAAGTAGCATAAGATTTTCGAATGTTTACACCTTCCGGCATCTATTTTAATATATTAAAACAACAACTTTTACTTTTTTTAATAATATTGTATTGCTTATGTCACTCTTTGATAGTCATTACGTACTATTGCTGTGTGCTATTGAGTACCACTTACAACAACTCTTAAAAGACACAGTAGAACTGCCCTATAAGGTTCCCAAGGCTATAATCTTTCTTCTATTACTTTGTTAAAGCTGTTTTACTGGAATATAATTCACACACCATATAAATCAGTGGTTTAACTATATTAAAAAGTTGAGCAATCATCACCATGATCAATTTTAGAACATTTTCTTCGTCTTTGTGTCCATTATTATTAGCTACCTATTACCTCCAACTTCCTGTGCCATAACCTTAAGGAACTATTGCTCTGGTTTATATATATATATATTGTTGCCTGAGGCAACATCAACTTCATAGCAGTGCGATTGTTTTTGGTTTGGTATTTTATATAAAGAAAAACATACAAAACTTCCAACAATAACAACAAATTAAAACACAGACAACTTCAATCCAAAAGAAAGAAAAAGATAATAGATACTGCAATCAATAAATAATGGGTCAAAAGGGAAATGGGTTTAGAGCTTTTACTGTCTGTCATCTATCACTTCTGCAAACTAGATCCTTGAAATTAAACTCAGATACAATTTTCTCCTCTTATCTTGGATTTTATTATTTGTAATCCTGAGATCACATGGGCTGGTGTATTCCTTCTTTGTGAATTTAGGTGGTACCTCAATTAGATAGCTGCTTATTTTAAAACAAGGACTTTAATTTTTATAGGAGTTGATTGTCACTATTTTCTCCCATGGAATGGTTGATAGGTTTAAACTAATAGCCTTTCTATTGGCACTTCAGTACTTAATCATCAGAATTTTTTTCATTATCTACTATTTATTCTATTTACCCACAATGAATAGTGTCTTTCTCTTGCTTTGCTCTCTAGTTCCCATGGTTGTGGGTGCATGGATATTAAATAATGAAATACAAATATATAAAGGAATATATGGAATACATCTAAGTTATGAATTTAAAATCCAATTATAAATTTAAAATTATATATGTAAATTGCCTGTAGTGCATTTTAATTATCCCATAAAATTATGTAGATTTAAATGTTAGAAGTCAATTCTTTTTTGCCCAACATTTTATTGGCATATAATTCACATATCATAGAATTCAATAGTTCAGTCACTTCAAGAAGAGTTGTGTAGTCATCATCACGCTCAGTCTAGAACATTTCCTTGATCCTTGTACTTATCATTGCCAGATTCCCCACGCCCCCTCCCCAGCACCTTTCTTGCCATACTCCAAAGGACCCATTATCGAGTTACTGTCTGTATATTTATGTATCCTGGGAAAAATAATTTCTAAATAATCCCACTTAAAAATAATAAAGAATTACAAATAATGATTCTTCTTGAACATTTCCTGACTAATACCAGGGGAATTAGTGGAAGAGAACAAGTTGTTAATAATGATAGTAGTAAGAATGGTATTAATAAACTACTTTGGGGTAACCTAAATTGAATAGAGAATTACATATACTATAAAAGTAGATAATGATTTCTAGAATTAGTTTTATAAATATATGTCTTTTATTATTGGAACTTCACAGTATAAATTAGTTTTTAATATACACAGATCAGGAGAAATTATGAGAAAAGAAGAAAAGTGAGAGGCTAGTAGAAAAAGTCACAAAAAAATAAATTGCCTTGTTAGAACTATTAAAGGTTTTTTATTACTATTGGTGAGAATAAAAGTGGCTTATTTTCTATTGTTGGAAGCATATACAAGTTTGGATTATCTCTACTATTTTTAGATTCAAATTCCTTCTTTTAAATTTTTTTTAATAATAGGGTCATATTAAAGCAATCCATGGTGTGATTTCTCTGTCTTTTTAAAAAATTTATTTTATTTTATTTTTGGTGTGATTTCTCTTAATGAGATTTTTTTGGTGTCTTCTAATTTGAGAAATGCTACAATTCAAACCTATTTAAAAATATGTTAAGCCTATACTTTTTAAATGATTTGTTTAAGTTTTGGTGAAGTACAGTTGCTGTAGTTAGTAAATAGTACTTTTTAATTTTTCAGTAGTTTTGTAGTATAGCTTACTATTTATTTTGTGTCTTTATGAAATATAGGACCTGTCTATTTTGCTAATTTCAAATGTAAATTTATTTTGAGTATTTATTATCAATGTGTAAGAGAACTTTATATCCGACATTATTTTATTTTATATTTTAACGTTTGTGTGGTATGCACACA